GATAATGAGATCTATTTTCTTTAGCACTAGTGTCTCTCCCTAGAAATCATGTACATCCGAGTACAAATCAGTATTTTAAGTTCAACAGGATATTGTTTAATGCATTATATTGTTACTCAAGTAAGTGAAGTATATTCATTTATGCAATCATTATTTTACTTGCTTTCCTTTTAAATTCATTTATTAAATATAAAGTGATTAAATGTATTTAATAACATTTTAAATTTGCCATTTCCTTTAAAATATATTTGTTAAACACCAACAATGTACCAGGCATGCTGCTAAGCACTGGGGATATAAAACCATCCTAAAGAGGGGCACCTGGATGGCTCAGTCAGTTAAGCCTCTGATATCCATTCTGGTCATGATCTCAAGGTCTGTGAGTTTGCGCCCTGCACGTGGCACTTTGCTGACAGCTCAGAGCCTGGAGCCTGCTTCAGACTCTGTCTCTCTCTCTCTTTCTCTGCCTCTCCCCCATTTGCACTCTATCTCTGTCTCTGTCTCTGTCTCTGTCTCTGTCTCTGTCTCTCTCTCTCAAAAATAAATAAACATTTAAAAAATAACTTAAAATCATCCTAAATACATTGTAGACTGGTTTCACAATATATCCTGAAATGCAAATGTAAGGAGATAATAATGGGAAAAATATCGTTTGTCTGGCTTTTCATCATCCTTGTATCAAGACCTTCATCCATTCTTCAGGTTTCTCTCCAAGTATTTGTGAAAGATCCAGGGATCTCCTGACCTCCAGGAGCCCATTTTTCTCCTTTTTTTCCTCTGGCTCCCTATGGTATATCAGGTCTTCTAAAAAGTATCTGCATTGACTGACCTTAAAATGTAGCACCAGAGTACTGCTCATGCTTACCCATAGTCCCTTCTACCTTTGCATGCAAGACCTACAGATTTCTTTGCCCATTCATTAGTATGTAGGTATCCTATGAAGGGATGTTGTAATGCATGCTGGCACAGAGGTGCTTGTGCTGATCAAGATTAACCCATTGGAGCAATGTTCTTTCCATAGAATTTGTTCCCCTTCTTTATGTTCCCTACTTTATATGGTTTTGCCACATGTTGTCTTGTGGTAGATACTTGTGGTATTTATTATTTAAGTAAACTAGTCTCATATTTATTTTCTCTATACATTACTATTGGCTGACAAGTACATAAAACTAAGCAGTCATATGTATTTCGTGATAGTATCCTACTAGACAAATAGATATTTGCCATATATCAATTTTCTTGAAGAAATATTGGGCACTGTGTTAGCAAATTCTTCCTCTGTTTTGCTAGAATTCAAACCACTGATATCTCACCTGAACTCCTTAAACTTTTCATACTTATTATAAAGAGGCAAGAATTACCCGTATCAGTAAGGTTTCCATGCTAGAAGCAGAAGCCACTTGGAGTTATTTTAAACAAGGGGAGTTTTATTTAGCAATTTAAGTGCTTCCAAAAACTTTAGAAAGGCTGATGAAGCAGAGTCTAGGCTGTACCTCTCAGAGGACTCACAAAGCCAGACAGAACTGTTTCCCTAGGGAAATGACCACTTCCGAAGCTGCCCCTGGAGCTCTGGCAGAGGCGTCAGTTTCCACCGCTGCCCTGCAAATGGGCACCAAATACTGCCCCAGAAAAGCCTCCTATTTTCAAGACCTTAAGTGTCAACAACAGGAGTCAGGAGCTACCACGCTTCAGCATTTGCCCACCTACTGATTTCTAAAATATGTCCTGAGTACTTCTAATTGGCTGAGACATGTTCACATAACCAACAATAGCTACGGAGAAGTTTGGGAAAGGTAGAATTTTGCTTTATAAACCTCTCCAAGTGAAAACAGAGTAGATAGGAGTTACAGTTCAGAAATATGTATTAGAGTCCATTCATTCTCTGTCTATAAAGTACTTCTGATCATTAACTGGGGTTGGAGGGGGAGCTCAGAGTAGTAACAACTTAGTAGAAAAGTAACTGCAAAATCTATGAATCTAAAGGCTTGGTTATAATTTTAGCTCTGACATTTAGAAATATGAGCAAGTCGTTTGCCTTCTCTGAGCCTCAGTTTCCACATTTGATAATAACATCTGGGCCACCTCACAAGATACTTATGAGGATCTCATTAGACACAAATGTGAAAACACTTCATAAACATTATGCACTTAGCAACTGCAAGCAGATATGATCAGTAGGAACAATCAAAGAAAAATTAAATGAGATCATTTCCGCTACTATTTAAGGTTTAATGCTAAATACATTTCTATTCTAGTTTTTGAAAAATGGTGACCCCGTTTTTATATCGTCTGTAGATTACCACATTGTCTGATTTCCCAATCAACTAGGGGAAAATTTAATCAAGCTTAATGTAAATATTTGTGATATCATATTGTAATATCATAGAAAGCTTAGATCCCATAAAAGACATTGTTTTAATAAATAAAAAAATCATATTTGAATTAGTTTATTCTGTCATTTTATATATATTCTTATAGTTTCAAATGCTTCATTATTTATATTAGCAAATCTTTTAAGTTTTGTAATTTTTGTGATCTTGTATAGGTATGATGTTTAGTTCACTTTTTATTTGACCAAATCTCTGTGAAGTGGGTTTTAAGAGCTGGACAGTAAAGAATGAAGGTTTCTAGTTCAGCAAGTTTCTTGATAACAGAAAAAGAGTTTCTAGGGAGTTGCTTTTCATTTTGTGTTTCATTTAGATTGAAAAAGTATAAACTCATAATTATCTAGTGTGATTTACTATTTTGATTGAGCTCTGGTTGTCAGTGTGATAAGATGACCTTATGAGCAGTATAACATTGAGCCCTGAGAAATCAATAAATATAATAAAATCCTTTTACTGCCCCTTCCTTCCTACTCACTAAATCAATTGCTTTTTACCTTCTGGTTTTTCATGAAAGTTCTACAATTCATTTTACTACCTGTCAAAATTGAAATGTCTTTTTTTTTTTCCTGAGGAGATATAGTTGTTTGATATTTCAATTTTCTTCATGATTTCACTTTTCATCTGTTTCTAGGACATTTGCATACTTGTCTAGTGTTTTAGGCCCCAAATTTGGAATAAAATATTATACAGGGATAGTAAATGAAGACTAACACAGTGATTCGTACAGATTACAGGGATTCATAATTGTTGATTTTGTTATTTTGCAAATCATGGAATGAGACTATTACAAAACCTCCATATGAATCACGAAAGAGTTGCGAGAGTATAACAGATTGATTTTCCTTTCTTGTAAATCAGGAGTGCGTCTCTAAATACCAGTCATATGAGTTCTACTTACCAGATAGAAAGGTTTGAACACACTTGACCTTCTCCGATGAGGAAGTTCATGTGTATCTCAGACCCAATGTATCTATTATTGGCTACCTGATGATACTTGGACACTTTGCAATGATTCACTGCACAATATGGAACTAAGCCAAGAGAACTAAGGCTTTTTCCAGTACATGTCTCCCAGTGATGTGTCAAATACAGTAGCTGCCTGCCCCTATGGCAGCTTCCAAGTAGTTTTCTTATTGGATATTTCCAACTTTTCCTTGTGTTGAAAGTATAAGCTCCTGGGGAGTATTTTTCTTCTGTACACACCAAGAAATGAATTTTCCCCAGCACCTTGCAAAAGACTCTAGCTCATTTTATAGCATTGATTTCATAATTCGGTCTTTCTACAGAGTCATTTCTTGTAATAGATGTTAAAAAACACATAGTCTTGGTGATAGAAAGGTAAATTTGGCTATATAATAAGAGTCATTCCATGAAAGGGAAAATAATGGAAAATGATACTAATTATTTAGCGCCCATCCTCTGAGTTGGGAGTAACATGTAACTGACTGATATTTGATCCAGCCACAGATTGCTTATTATGCCAGGCTGAATTCCTTTCTTATGCTGCGTGCCATATAATGGAAAATCTAAATGGCAATTGTCAACACTTTTGTGTTCTGTTTATTGATTCAATCAACTTTCTTATAATGCTATACAGTAATTTATAACCTCATTGATGAGATTCAATCCTATAAGGAGTCTTATAGAGCAGATAAACATTTAAAGGGAGAGATATAAAGAAGAAGAAATTAGAAAACTGCACATCTATATCATGTACCTTGCAATGAAATATCATTCTTCAACAATTTTTTCATTTTGTTGTTTTAAATTTATACTTGTTTTACTTTAGACTCAATTGTTTACCCAAGGCAAGCATTTCATAGTAAAGTGTATATTTCATCATAAGTGAATTGAGCTGCTGTGAACTAAAACCAAAGACAGAACCTTAATTTGACTTTTCCTTTACCCCTCAAATCATCACTGTGTTTTATATGACATTTGTCTCCTGGCTTTTAATTGGACCACCAAAAACCAATCTAGTTTGGGAACCCATGTTCCTTTTAAAGTGCACCATCGCAATTCATTTCCTCCCCAATTTTACTTCATCTTAACGTGTTGTCACTAGATCCTTCTACTAGAAACATAGAGCAGAGCATGCCCTTCCATGCTCAAAGAGCTTCATTATCTACACTATTTAAATAGAATTTATTCCAAATCCCTCAGTTAATAGTAAAAGCTCATTACTTTATAGTTCACACTTACCTTTCTGGTTGTCTTCAACATTACACCACACACACACACACACACACACACACACACACACACAGTGCTCTTTCATCTCCATATTTGAGCACTTGCTCAAGTGACACTGTTTTTCTATAGCTATTTAAGGAAAGACCATGTTCTCGTCCTATCTTCCCTCCAAACTTACTGTATTCAAAATTCAGAATGAATCTCACCCACACACCACATGCCAAAGTATTTACTATGTCTATGATAGCATCAGAGTTCTATAAGATTGTGAGTTGCTGGAAGGCAACAGCTCTATGTTAGTTTTTGTATTTCTTGTATTTAGCATAGAATTCAATGTATGCTAAATAATGTTTATGGAAACAATTTTAATGGAATTCAATTGACCACATTCCATGTAATGTTGTTCTTGTTTTCTTTTAGGAACATGGAATCCCTATCAACATGGGCTACGCGGTGGCACCACATCACTCAGGGGTCTACCCGGTTCATATTCAGTTATATGAAGCTTGGAAGAAGGTCTGGGGTATCCAGGTCACCAGCACTGAAGAATATCCACATTTGAAACCTGCACGGTACCGAAAGGGCTTCATTCACAATAACATCATGGTGAGCATATACTGTTGTGTGTATTAAAGGCTCTTAGTATCTCTATGTTGAATAAATACAAGATATTGCTTCAGACTACTCTGACATGGTATCATAAGTTATTTTTTTTTAATGTTTTATTTATTTATAGAGGAGAGAGGAGACAGCGTGAGCAGGGGAGGGCTAGAGAGAGAGGGAGTCACAGACTGAAACAGGCTCCAGGCTCTGAGCTGGCAGTCAGCACAGAGCCCAACGCGGGGCTCGAACCCACGAACCGCGAGATCATGACCTAAACGAAAGTCGGACGCTTAACCGACTAAGCCACCCAGGCGCCCCATAGGTTCTTAACATACCATGGTGGTGACAGGTCATCTGTTAACACATTTGCACGTTATTGTTTTGCGGTGGGTGGTTTTAACAAGTCCTAGAAAAGCTCAAAATACTGAAAATGAGTTTCAAATAAATCATCCATGCAGTTTCTCAACTGAAGTTTTGTCTGGGGACCCTATACTTCTGGGAGTTTCTCCTTGTCTGGTTTTTTGGATGGTCATATTGAAAGTTTTCCAGGCAACTTTGGTTCATAAACAAGCAACAACATCTCAAATTACTACACTATCAACAGACAGAACCAAACAAATAATATCTGAAAGTTATCCACCTAGTTTGCTTTGGCTTTCTGACACTTAAGAGTGTCTTAGCATAATGTTTTATAATTCTTCTTTCTTTTCCTTGCATACTATTAAAATGGAGGTATGTATATATATTTTTTCAGATATGTTGATTCAAAAAATAATAATCTGATACAAGAATGGTGTTATCAGTTACTGTAAATGAGAATAGAATCAAATGAATTTTAGGTGGGAATTTATAAGTATTTATTGGAATGGAAAAATATGATATTCTTCACTTTGAAATAAGATAGTCCACTTAAATTGCCTATCCCCATTTCTGGGACTTCAGGTTATGTTTTCATTATCAGTTGTCTGGATCATAGCAAGGGTTTACAAACTGTTCTCCCTAGTTTAAATAATTACATTTTTCTGAATCCATTATTCAGATTGCTGTTAGAACTATCTATCTATCTATCCATCTTTCTATCCATCTATCTATCCATCTATCAATCTAATCACTATCTAAAACCAAAAAAAAAAAAAAATCAAGCACAAGAACACATGACTAACCACAACTAGTACTGGAAGACCTAGATCCTAGATTTAAAAACCATCAGATTTAAAAATGGAGATACTAATAATGCTAATATTGGTATCAGCATTCATAAAAATCCAGGAAGTATAAAAAGGATTGCTCTTATATAATTCTGAATCACAGTGCAAGTACCGTTTTCCCTTTATTGAGTTACATGTTGACATATTATAAAATAAAAGCATTCATTTTAACTGATATTACATGTATTCATTTAGTTTGAATTTAATACAAACTATTATAAGCAAAGAATAGATAAAATCCTAGTAACTCTGTTCAATTGGATGCATTTTCCATTAGATTATGAGCAATTTATTATTCAAAATAAACTTTTGTAATAAAATTAGTTTTTGCTTTCTGTGTTGAACATTCAAATTTATAACAGAATTAACCACAGAATGTGCCAGAAGTAGTCATTAAATGATTTGACTACTACTGTGATTAAAATTTAAAATCAGAGTGTAGTAAAAACAAAACATATAAAAGTGGAAGAAGTGATGAAAATGGATTGTTTTCAATCTCAGAACCTGAGTACCATGTAAGATTATATTTCAGAAGCAAGGAGAGTAATGGCCTAATACCATGAAAAATGTAACTTGGAGAATCTCTATATTTAAATTAAATTAATCCTAAAAACGCTTTTATTTTTTGTCAGTCCTTTAACATAATTCAGCTGGTGGATGAGATTTCTGGAACTTTCTGAAAATGCTTTAGCCTATCTGTCCTATAGCATTGATCAGGCAACTCCCTTAACATTTAATTACACCAACACCAGCTCTTGATTACAGTAATATTTTGGCTTTAGCAACCAAGGAACTCCAATAGAAAATGATAATTTGCAGATTCTGAAGTAATGAGACAGTGGTGGAGCTCTTAATTAAGTCATGTCAGTGTGCTTCTTCTCCTCCCCACCTTTCCTCAGGTCCTGCCTCGACAGACCTGTGGGTTGTTTACCCACACTATTTTCTACAAAGAATATCCAGGAGGACCCCAAGAATTGGATAAAAGTATCAGAGGAGGTGAACTTTTCCTTACAATCCTTCTAAACCCGGTATGTATTCTATTTATGTTTTTCATTATAACATGAGAATTTTCAAATACGTGTTTCTTTTTTTTTCTGTTGCCAACCTTTTCACAAGATTAGGTGGTAAATACTAGCCCTACTAGAAAGAAATTAGACTACATCTCCAAATTTTCAAATTTGATCTTTAATTTTTATGATCTTCAATCAAGGAAAACAAAGACTTGTTAAGAAGCATATGTTGAATTTAAGAACTCAATGTAATATAACATCTCAATGTTGACTTCTATTCTTGAATTGTAATAAGACATAATAAAATGCAGTTCTCTAGCCCAAATTTAATATTCACAGTATCATCAGTGAATATATATTTTGTCCATAAGTTGAGTTTTCTTCTTGCTCTAGATATCAATAGACACACAATTCAGTCTCTAAAAATGTACACAATGTAAAATTGCTTTGAAAATATGTAGCTAGGAGTACCTGGGTGGCTCAGTAGGTGGAGTGTCCGTCTCTTGATTTTGGCTCAGATCATGATCCCAGGGTTGTGGAATCGAGTTCCTAGTCAGGCTCTGAACTGTGCTTGGAGCCTGCTTGAGATCCTCCCTCCCCCTTGTCCCTCCCTGCTTGTGCTCTCTCTCTAAAATTAAAAAAAATAAAAATTGAAAAATAAAAAATAAAATATGTAGCTAGGTATTATCTCTGCATACCAGCATCATCTGAGGCCTATTTTAAAAATCTCCACTAAGTTTATTTGGAATCAAAGGTAGAACATTTGACCCTTTATTCTTCAATCATGTCCTTTCACCTTTCAAAGTTTTACAATTTTATTTCCTGCTATTTGTGTAAAAGTATATCAAGGTGGGAATATATTATAATTAGATAATGCTGATATAATTTCAGCTTTTTTGTTTTTCTCTCATAAATATTCCATTTCTAGAGTCTTATGAAAGCATCTCTTCTTTTACATCTCAGTACACACAAAAAATATGAAGCAGTAGGTCGTACACTATGCCCACCTTGCTTAATAGAAGACATTTTTCATACTCAAAGAAAAAGATTCATGCATTAAACAAAACTACAGGTCAGTTGTCTGTGGTGAAGGTTTGTTTAAAATGAATTATTTAAATAATCATTATATGGCATTATGAAGTCCTGAAGAAATTAAATAAAAACCTGCATTGTGTAAAAATGAAAACTTGTAAATTGAGTTGGAAGAGCAGTGACATGGGGGTTAAAATACCTTATCCAATTATGAATAACCAAAAATAACCTTTTCCCTCAAACAGCATAGTTATTGAAAACAAAACAAAAATTTAAAACAATCTGTTGTGTTGGGGTGGCACTAAACGAGTGAACAGCTTGGATGTCCTATGATCTTTCACAAGAAATGATTTCTCAGAACTTGCTTGCTCTTCTGTAAAACAACTTAGTTGAACTAGACAATCTTCAATGTGCCTCAGAGGTATTCCTAATGGACATAAGTCTGAGATATCCCAATGCTTGTGTGTAATTCAAACTCATTGACACTTAAAAGCTATCAGGGTATTTTATAAGTATTGTTTTGGAAATTGAGGTATGCACATGGATGTTAATGAAAACAACTATGGGAAATCCTTCTGTTTACCCTTTTCCACACTAATTGAAAATTTGATCTCCACAAAGGTAAGGGTTACTTCTTCATACCTTTTTCATATCAGGGCTATACTCTTGACCTGTTCTAATCATTTGCTAAGGGAAGCGGATACGTATCAGAGCACTGATAATTGCCTCCCCTAAAATTCTTGCTCCTAGGTCTGATCACTGCTACTGTAAATTACCTGAATGCCTGTCTACTTGTCATTAAAGAGATGGATTTAAACTTTTTTTTTTGTTTTGAATTCAGTACTGAACCCCTCATAAAACATCATCCAGAGACTTATAGTTGGTCTTTTAAATGAAATGGAGGACTATTTGGCATCCAGTATTTCTACCTTTAGCACTTGTGAACTCACCAAACAACACTAACTACTGTAAACCTTGCTTAAAAAGATTGTCATCACCACACAGATGGATTTTAATTGCAGTTGGAATGGAAGAGTAGAAGAGGGATGTTTCAGGACCCTTACTGCATCCATTCACAACTGTGCTTAGTTTATTGTGAATTCATGGTGACCTCAAAAGAGGATACATGAGTATAGGAGAGAGATCTGTATGCACATAGCAGAAAGCAATGCTAGAGATGGTCAAAATGTGAATAATATAGGACATCATAAGGTATGATAATATGAAGCTTGTATCTCGCAAATAGCAGCTGACGAAGATGTGGGATTAAATAACAATGTTGTTCACAACATGAATAGTGTACACCTATAAGCAATCTAACTTGATGCTACTCAGCTCTTTAGGGAGCCAGGTGGTAGCAGCATCTCGTGGAACCCATCAAAATGGTGAAGGTCCAGACCTGTGTAGGCAGAAGCTACAAGATATATTAGTCAGTGTTCTCCAGAGATACAGAACCAGTATGGTGAGTGATGGTAGGGTGATAGAGAGATTTATTATAAAGAATTTGCTCATGTGATTATGTAGGTTGATAAGTCTCAAGATCTGCAGTTGGCAAACTGGAGACCTAAAAGAACCAATGATGCAGTTCCAGTACAAGTCATAAGGACTTACCTTGGGCCTGAGAATCAGGAGAACTGATGGTGTAGTTCCAGTCCAAAGGTTGACAACATCGAGACCCAGGAAGAGCCCGTGTTTCAATCCAAGTCTATAGGCAAGAACACAAACAAACAAACAAACAAACAATGTTCTAGCTCAAAGACCATCAGTCAGGAGCTCCCTTTTACTCACAGGATGATGAGCCTTTTTGTTCTATACAGGTCTTCAACTGATTGGATGAGGTCCATCCACATTAGGGAAAACCATCTGCTTTACTCAGTTGACCAATTCAGTTGTTAATCTCATTCAAAACATCTTCACAGACACACTCAAAATAATATTTGAGCAATTATCTGCATGCTCTGTGGCCCAGTCAAGCTGACACATAAATTAATCATCACACCAAGTGAAAGACTTAATGTGGGAAGCTGACTGGAAGTGAATGAAATAAAATGAGCAACACAGAAAGAGAGGAGAAAGTGATGAATAAAGAAGCTTGGAAATAAGCTTGGAATTCTTTGTGCATGTGTCCTATTACAAATAGAGAAGCATCTCAGGTGATGGGCTGTGATCAATATTCACACTTATATGGAGAAAAGAAATATTCAGGCTGCTTAATTACAATTCCAGATTAAACGGTTCCAGCAGGTCTGGCAAGGAATGGGCTTACACAAATGGAGTGAGGAAAGAAAAAACAGAGAAAATATCACAATGACACCCAGCCTTCCTCTTTGGTCTATTATTTTTCTCCAGCCAGAACTTAATTCTTTGTCAGAGTAAAATTATCTCTTTACTCTTTCACCAAAACTATGCTGAAGAAAAAAATCTATTATAAGTTCACTGATGTAAAGGTATGCCATTGATATGAACTTAATATGCTAACTTTAAGAATATTTATGTTCTAACAGAACCAGTTCCCATAAGAAAGGTCTATGACTGCATTATTTTAGGTATCAAAGTCCCTTGTGAATATATGTTTTTAGTAGGAGGCATTCAATATCCATTATCACCGAGAAACCATCATTTCCTCTACTTACTGTTCCAACTAACTCATAATATGGAAAAATGATTTTGTGAGAACTTATAAGTAGGATAAGTGATCACTAGTATTAATAAACTCTGGAGATTAAGAGTCAATCTAGCTTTAATTTGTTGTTCCATTGATGATCTATACTTTCACATAATATAAATGCTATACTTATATACTATGACATCTCTCTTGCATGGTAATTTTCTCTATGGATTAGTAAATTATCTATAGATTTCTGTTTGTCCAATTAGGTTTTTTGTATGTTGACAAATGGATGAATAAGGATATAGACAGCATGACACAAAGCTAGGAGTGAGAGTAAATACTCCAGACAATAAAACCAACATCCAGTTTTTCTTAACATATTGGAATGTTAGACCAAATCTAGCAAGATAGAATTTAACAGGAAGTAATGAAAACCTCCAAAATTATTTTCAAAGAAAATAGTGGTATAATTACAGCATTATATAAGAATAAATATTATATAAGGATAGATTCAATTTGCCAGAATGTTGTATAGGCTGCATCATGACATATTAAGTTCCTTGTCATTGAAGTTATCCTAACAGAAATGTTATAAGAAATGGAATTCATTACTTTTAATATCACATTTGATGCAAAAAGTCTGTGTTTGTATTCTTACTCAGCTAGACACTGGGTATATCTCTTTCATTATAAGACATTAAAATACATAAAGTGGGTTTAATTTTAAATATTATAAACCAGCATTATAAATTTGGTTATACTCTATGATTTTAAGGCCAGAGGAAAAGAAGAAAGCGTGATTATCAACATGCATACAAATAAAAGAATGAGGTAAAATGGAAAGAAATTCAGGAGTAAATGTATTAGTGGAAATGTATTGAGAAGAAAAAAATAATTTCCATCATCATTATACTGAAAGAAATATTACTGACAGGTTTAACAGAACTATTCTGAATAGACTGGTAGTTTCTGGATTCATTTGTATGTAAACATCCTATGAGGCTAATAAAAGCTGGACAAAGTATATGAGGGAATGTCCTGGAATCTCTCTCTCTAGAGTATTTTAAAATAGAATCAACAACTATATAGGTCTTTCTTATTGCCTTGGGAGTTCATCTGCCTAAAGGAAGGGGACTGGATTAAATAACCTTGAAAAGTTCCACATACTTTTTTCTGGTTTATAACTTCTACAACTCTGCTCTGCAGTCAAAAAGGCACAAACCTTTTTGCAGAAACAGACCCATAAATACAGAGGACAAATTGGTGTTGCCAGAGGGTACAGAGGGTAGGAGATGGGCAAAGGGTTGAAGGGGAGTGGGAGGGTACAGGCTTCCAGTTATGCAATTAGTAAGTCATGGAGATGAAAGGCACAGCAAAGAGAATATATTCAATGGTATGGTAATAGCATTGTATGGTGACAGATTGTAGCTACACTTGTGGTGAGCTTAGTATAGCATATAGACTTGTTGGGGCACCTGGGTGGCTCAGTCGGTTGACAGTACGAGTCTTGATAATGACTCATGAGGTCGTGGGACGGAACCCTGTGTCAGTCTCCATGCTAAGCATGGAGCATGCTTAAGATTCTCTCTCTCTCCCTCTCTTTGCCCCTGTCCCCTGCTCATGCTTTCTCTCAAATAAAATAAAATAAAAATATTTAAAACAAAACAAAAATGTATATAGACTTATTTAATCACTATATATACACCTGGAACTAATGTAACATATTAAAAAAACTGGTATATCACAAAGGGGTGAGGGGGCACAAACTGTAAGTCAAGGGCAGTTTTGTTCTTTGTGCAACTTAGGGATTTACATTATTTTGTATTGTCCCCTCCAGAACAGATCTGTATCATTTCTGTACTCAAAAGTCTCTGATACTTTTTGTATACATTCTCAACAGTTTTTTAAATTGTGACTCTAGCTGGCATCCTGCCTCTATGCACATTTTAAAATAATGTCATTATTTTCTGGGACACCTGGCTGACTCAGCTGGAAGAAGCATGCAACTCTTGATCTTACGGTCATGAGTTTGACCCCCACGTTGTGTGCAGAGATTACTAAAGAAAAAAAAACTTAAAAAAATAAAAATAAGGGCAAATAAGTGGCTCAGTAGGTTAAGCATCTGATTCTTGATTTCGGCTCAGGTCATGATCTCACAGTTCATGAGATCGAGCCCTGCATCTGACTCCATGCTGAGCATGGAGTCTGCTTGGGATTCTCTCTCTGCCCCTCACTTGCTCCTGCTCTCTGTCTTTCTCAAAATAAGCAAATAAACATTTAAAAAATAAAAAAAAATAAAACAAAATAAAATATGTCATTATTTTCTAATCTACCATAAAACAGAAAATACAAATTGGAATCTATTTTTACATCTTGACTCACATATGAACTCCTGCTACTGCTGTATAACAGTACTGTTGTGTGAATCTTTTGATTCAGGAAACTGCAAAGAACAGGGTTTCTTCATTTCCTTGGATACCAACTTGTTTTGCCCAAATTAATCTAACAATTGAAAATTAAATGATATGAGGGCCATTTGAATGGCATTTCAAAAGAATAGCTAGACATCTTCCCACTTAACATTCAGATAACTTCCTCTTATTTTTCTTAGATTCTATCATGACCTCATCACATATTGATATTTTCCTGCACTGCTCCACACTTGTCAAATACTAACATGTATTTCCCTGGTGCCGAATCCTTCCTGTATTTTCAATATAATCTTTGTTCAGACAGGAAGAAATATAATTTAATCATGTATGAGGTGAAACAGCTTATACCAGGTAACCCACCATCATTCAAGTCAAGACACTAACCTATAAAATATGCAGCAACTGACAATAATAAAGGGAGTCTAGAGTCTTATCAGATGGTGTCACCAGTAACTATAAAAGCTTGAAATGAGTGTGTTCTACCAGATTTAATTTTTTAACTCATTTTAATTTATGTGACACAAAGAACAATATGAAAATAGAATTCTCTAAGTTTCTTAACAGATACAATTAAAGATGTTCAGATTCTAGAATGTCTTAAAATGGCAGTACTGGAGCCAGAAAATCTATGCTTTCCAAAGTCCAAAGCGGTGTCTAGACTTGCTAACCCTTGCCTGTATTTTGGCCAATTGCAGATTCAAGTGAACAAAAAATATGTGCCTGAAAGAGCGGTGTACTTGAAATTGACAGTACAGTATAATGGAACTTCAATGATATACTTCTCCATGTGCTGCCTGCTGAACTTTTATACACCTAGGCTGCTTAATGAGCTTTCCTTCTTCATGTATATCAATCTCCAAGTTCCTGGAATCTAATAGCAGGTGCAGTGCATTTTGGATTAGTGCTGGCTCTGAAGACAAAGTAGAGAAAAGACAGATGTAAGGCATAGGAAAACGTCAACATGAATAGCCTGAACCAAACTTTAAGTTCCTTAGTGCTGAAATAAAATAGAATCAGATATGTGAGATAATTCACGGAAGCATATTTTATGTGCAGCACAATATAAAATGCAAGAAACATTCCAAGTCTATTTTAGAGCCAATTATAAAGAATTACTGATTACTAATATCAAGGCATCCAAGTATTTTTATGATCTTGATTTTGATTTCCTATAAATGCCATGCTTTATAGAGAAGTGTAACAAACAGATAATATTTCCTGTAGAACAAAGCAATGACATATTCCATCAAAATATATTTCTCTACAAAATAATATGTTAATATTTCTAACTTGGGGTTGTGGGAGTTTTTTACATGTGTTCCAGCACTGTGTATTTAAAAAATAAATAAATAAATTCACTTCTAACTTCTCTGCTATAGCAAAATCTGCCACTTATCGGGGCAGGGTTTTGAAGCAATTAGTGTTACTGGGAGCTGTGGGGCATAGAGCCTGGAAGAAGAGCCACCAACTGTGAGAAGAATGGACCCCTGCAGAGTATATAGATTGCGAAAATTCTATTTCCACTCACTGAAAGATCTATGGCTACCTCCTTTTTTTTCCTTTATCTGTTTTTTTTCCCTTAAAGATTTGCAGGA